AAATGAAATCCCTAAACCCCAAAAACTATACCCTAAATGCATAATAGTTAATACAAACTCAAAAATTTACAGTATTTTGTATCTTTTATCAAAAAATTTTGAAAATATAAATTTTTAAATCGTTTGTGTTACATAGTGAACTATTTTTTATCACTATACATGATTGATTGAATAGCTAACCACTGAACTATTTTAGTTAACTATATTTAATAAGTGTTCTTTAGTTAACTATCTTGATAAACACAGACTAAAAGTTATACAATTGTAAAAATTTTATAGTTAACTACAATTGAATTAATTACTGTAAGTAGGATCGTCTAAGAGGGGTGGCAAGTGGTTCTATCGCACATGACCCACGTAAAAATTTTTTTAATTCTTTAAGGAAAAAGGGCCCAAAAATTTTACTTTTTCTTGAAAAATGTCCAAAAATTTTTTTTTTGTCTAGGGCCTTACAAAAAAATTGAGACGGCTCTATTTGTAAAGATTATGTAGTTTACTATTTATGTAGCTAACTACAATTAACATAGAAAGTAGGAATATAGTCAACTATACGAAGTAGGAATTTTAGCTAACTACAACAATATAAAAAGTATGAATATGGTCAACTATACAAACCTCTCATTGCTTTCAAGATTCGTCCACTAGAACAACATAGAAAGTAGGAATATAGTCAACTATACAACTGTTTGAAATCACTGTTGGAATTTTAACTAACTACAACAACAGAGAAAGTAAGAATATAGTCAACTATAACTTCGATATGAGATCACTAAATCAAGATTAATTTTCATCAATCAAGATTAATCTCGATTTTTTTTGTTTCTTTCAGAGATTAAAGTGATTGGTTATGTGAAAAAAGGTGACAATGTCGGATGTAAATACTTTGAGATTTTTACTACTTTGCTTAAAATATTTTTAGGGATCAAAGATAAATATTTTGTCTGATTTTTTACCACTTTCCTTTCTCAATTTTCGCAGAGGCAATTCTGTCAAATTTTTCATTCTCTCTGCTAGATACATAAATCTCATTATGCATATATTAGTTTCTTAATTATCTACCCCAAAACTAATATTAAGCGGATTAACCTAAATGTTAATAACCTTTCTCCTTATGTTAGTTTTAAGAACATCTTTTAAAACCATGTTTAAAGAAAAATTTAAATTATATGTGACGTCTAAAAAATATGTTATTATTTGGACTTATATAAATTTGTTCTAAACTCATAAAACAAAATTAAAATCGAAACTAAATCCAATTGGAAAAAGCTCAATTCACAAGATTGGAAATTAGATTCAGATTGTTTTTTTTTTCAAAACTAATTTCAGTTCTAATATTTTCTCCGTTTTAGGGAAAAACGATCTATTTCCGCACTATAAGTATGATATTCGTCTATATACTGTCCAAAATATTACATATATGTCTCTGAAATTAAAGTTTCATACCTTTTTTTGTTTTTTTCATCTGAATATTAACATAAACACCGTAGAAAACAGAGATGGGATACGTTTTTGAAATACACGGATGGGATACGGAGATGAAATACATAGGAGAATCTATACCGAGATCCTCAGACGAATAACTAGTCCTAGACCCATAAAGCCAAAATATAGCTCGGGAGACAACAACCTAAAGCCTCGAACCAAGACCCAAACTAACTAACTCGATCCAAAGAGCCAAGAGTCTTCCTTCCAAAGGAACCTCATCAATGTAGAACCACTACTTCGCATCACAATGTCGATAAAGGTGAGAAGGAGCTGCACGGACACACGAGACAAGAACACCAAATCCCGAGTCCAAACTAAAACCAGTTAAGAGTAACGATCGCCAACGTTAAACCATGAAGAAGATCTTCTCCACGAGCTAAAGTAGAACCCAAACCTAACCCAATATTCTTCATATTGATAACAATCCCAAACACTAATGCAAGGAAATGTTATGCATAACGCCAATAGAAGAACATATTCACAACGGAAAGAAAGGAATCTACGCAGCAAGGGGAGGAAGGAACATCCTCGAGAAGCATCTTCTTCAGCAAAGAGGAGTCACCCTTAAACAAATAGCAAATACCACCTCAAGCAGGGCAGGTTATAACCGAAGGCATAGACTCATCGAACCTCCGAGGATGAGATAGAGCTTAGGCCAAATTCAGGGACAAAAGATTGAAAGCGGCCATCTCCAAGCAAGCTAATACCAAATAAAGCTAAATCCAGACTCTAAACAGAGAGATCCTAGTCCCAAACACAAGAACTATTACAGGCGAAGACTACACCTACTCAGAGAAAGAACTTACCCCACCGCCGGTGGCAAGCTCCGGCCAAGATTGGCGTCGAATCGGGAGGATACAACTGCATGAATCCAAGGCAATCGGAGTCAAGCAAAAACCTAGGACTTTGCAAGCGGAAGAAGGCCCGAACCCTGCCTAATCGAGCCGAGCACACTGCCCCGACGAGAAGGAACGATTCAACCACCAACCCGACCGGCGACCTAGACAGATCTTGACCACAAACAAACCCTCACCGAACCGAGATATGAAACCCCACCACGAGCAAGTTCTCATACCGGATCTAGAACCAACATCCACCGAGAAACTAAAGCATAAAGACTAAAAATGACTGGATCCGGCTTCAGCGCCAAAGGAGCCGCCGACCACCGGACCAAACCAAGCAAAACGTTGTAGGGTTACTGTAACCGTCGCTCTGTTGATATCGCCTAAGAAACAGATTTTTTTTTTTTTTAAAGTTTCATACCTATATGTCCATCAATTGGAAGTTAAATATCTATATACCCATAAATCTGTTTCTGAGTAAACCCGAGATCAAATCGATAGAACCGAATTTTAAACCGAACTTTGACCCGAACCAAAACCCGATCCGTTTAAAATCTAAACCCGAGTCTTTATAACGCGACCCGACTCCTAGCTCCATGGCTCTGCGAATCTCTTCGCCGTCTTCACCAATCATCCTCCGCCACAGTAGCATTCTCCGATCATACTCCAGAACACCAAGTCCAAGCTCGTTTCCTCCTCTCTGCTTACAATATCGCCGCTTCTTCTCCTTCTGATTTCCAGATTTTGCTCTCTTTTCAAGGTAATGGAGATTTTGACGGAGCTATTTTTCTTCATTCTCTTTTATCCGCTGTGTCCCCACCTCTCCCGGTTACTATCTCGCCGGAGTTAACAGCGGATTTACTGGCTAAGGATAAGGTTAATGGTTTTGGTTTGATGGAACCTTTCTCTGTTTCGAATGAGAAGAGATTGGTACGAGCTTATGAGATTTATCCGAAGACTTTGTTTTTCAATCATGATTGGCTTCCTAATGCTTGTAGATTTGATTACGTTGACGCTGCTTCAGACGGTAATACCGATATCGTGATTAAGATGATACATGTTCCTGAAGGTAGAGAAGTGTGTTTGAGTTACTTCCCTGTGAACATGAGCTATTCGAGTAGGCAAAAGAGATTGCTTGAGGATTATGGTTTCAAGGTGAATGTGATCGGTGTAAAGTGGAATCTAGTTGGTCGGAAGGGGAGGATGATGAGAACGAGGTTATG